AAAATATAGGAAATGTCCTTTATTAACTCGAGTGTCGCTCCCCATCTTCGTGGAGGAACGACACAGGACCCTGCGCTGTTCTTTCGTCTGCTCGGCCCTCCCCGGGTTTGCTGCTGGTTCTTCCCGGGTTGGCTACCTACATTCCACCTCCGTGGAAGGGCGGTTCCCCCTGCCACTTTTCCCCACTTCCGCGGGGGAGTGGCACACCGCCGGCCGGCTCTCTCGGGGGCTGCACAGGTGTTCCTTCAGATAGATGTTCCTCTTAGATGTTCCTCGTGCATGTTGTCTCTCTCCTCCTTTATAGTCCTTTTCCACCAATCCCAACTCTGCTACCCACACGCCGAGTACGCTGCTCTCCTCCAATCAGGAGCAGGTCCTGCTGTTTATTGGTTGAACTGGAGGCAGCTGTGTAGAAGCTGTTACTCCCTTCTCAGCGCCATATTGTGGGAGAGCAGATGCATAGAATAAGTCTTAATTCCAGTAACTTAGTCTAGTCCGAGTTGCTCCCCACACTCGAGAGTTTCAATTTGTGGAAAGTTTTTAGCAGAATGTTTCTGGCTGTTAGAAGTGTAATCATAAAGAGCTATGGCATCCATTTGTCCATGGGATATGCCTCCCTGAAGAATGGTATGTTAACTATAAAACTATCTTAATAAAACCTCAAGACGTTCCATAACTAGAAGGCAGAATTCTGAGTAAGCTGCATGGCGTGTGTCATGCTTAGAGATATTATAAATTAATCTGGACCAGACAAAGCACATGGAATGAGGTAATACAGGAGTTGGAGAGCTATATCGATGGGTCAAGGTATCCCTGTATCACTTGTGCTTGAAAATTACCTGTATCCTTAAAACTATTAGTGAATCTACATGTTGAGTCATATATCCAATTCATATGAGTACACTTTGACAATTCAATCCTTTTTATTATCTTATATGTTTAAGTAATTCATTAGGAGAGAAAAAAAGGCTAAAATTTAGTAATCTAATCATCCAAATTAAGATCATATGGAAAAGAAACCCCCAAAAAAGCAGAAGAAAGAGAAGGTAAGTAAGAATATTTGAAATTAATAAAAGAGAAAGCAAAGCAACAACAAAAATCTAGAAATAATCAAAAGGTTAAGAAATTATCACTCTGAAACCTTTATGGCAATGAACAACTGTGGAAGATTATCCAAAGAGTGAACAAACAGGAGAAACAAGTATCTATTATAAATTCTGTACATACAAAGATACAAAATATATCTTAAAATATTATACCAATATACTTAAAATTTAAATGAATAAAAAAGAAAAATTACGACATATCAATATTGAATTAAGAATAAATAACCTCAGTATTTCTAAAGCTCATAAATTATATCAATAATTTATTATATCCCTCAAAATTGAGAGGATAAGAAAAATAATTAAAGCATTACTCTACTTTGTTCAGAGAATGAAAAATGAAGAAACACTCTCCAATTTTGTTGTGATGTTATAAAACCCTGCCAAAATCAGACAAATACACAAGGAAACTTAGAGGCTAATGTTACTCAATAGTATAGATGTAAAAATCATAAACAAATGGTTATCAAACCTAATCCAGCAATATATTTATCTCCCTTTCTCTCTTTCCTTTCCTCTCAAAAAATGTTAAAAATAAGAAATAAGAAAGATGTGCATTTTCAATACCTCCATTCAACAGAGCACTAAACAATCTAGAATGGATGAAAGAAAGTTGCAAAATTATATTGACACAAAAATAAAAATGAAAACTCGTTATATTCAAACAATCTAAAAAGTACTAGCGAGTTAACAGGAAGTTAAAGATTGCGATGAGATTAAATATATAATACTATATCTATGTATCATATTAACATTCTATTTATAATGTATAAAACTGATTTGTAAGGGATGAGTGACAATAGGATTATACCCCTTAAGGTGGATTATTAGTGCAAATATTTAATTTTATCAATGCACTCTATACTTGACTTATATTTCAGGTATTTCTATATATGTGAAACAATTTCTATTTTAAATATGAAAATACTGTTTTATAAAAACTATATGTAATATATTTGATACATATAGAACATATGGAAAAGATACATTCTGAGAAACCTTAGTAAATAGAAAAATTGAAGCAATGTCAGTATTTTCATACAAATAAATGTAATACTGACATGAATTACAGTTTTGTATTTACTGAACATAAACATTACATTTGTAAAAATGTACTATTATTTGTTATATTAAATAGACCTAACCATTTGTAAACATGAGTTACCTAAAAATATTGTTGGTTAGGATGTTTAATACTTACAGCTATAACTGTATAGAACATAAAAAAAGTTTAATAATTTGTTTTACACTCACATCCAAGGGGACAAAATAATTGTCCAGTTTCTTTCTTACATTTTAATGAGAATTCTGGTATCACCACGGTAGTTTCATGATGATTGGCAGAACATCAGCAAAGGATTTATTTTGGCAATAAACAAGGAACTTATTAAGAAAAGTATTATGTTGAATACCGTGTGACAGATATTAGTATGTAGGACCTCATACTGTATTCTCCTGATGATCCTAATTGAGCACAAACATTCTCAAACATGGATACAACATTAGATAAACTACATCATCCCACAAAGATTGCTTTAGACTTATAATTTTAAAATTTGCCAAGATATTATATTATACATTGAAGTCTGACAAATTATTGTGATCATTTCAATGCTTGGCTTAATGAGCCAAGTGTTCTTGGTGGTGCTCGGTAGAATATAGAGTTTAATGAAGGCATGATGGCATGATATCAAAGAGATGGAAGTTAATCTTAACTGATAATCGCTATTGATGTCAGAATTCCAAATTATTTTTAATGTCATCTGAATACAGAAATCCCATACTTGCCAGCCGAGCACATTTTAAAAGCAATTTATTAATCCTATTATTTTCCAAACAACCAGATATATTTTCATTTTTATGCATGTACAGAAATAATCTGTGTCACAGAATACTTTCCCTCTCAATCATGTGAGTTGCAGTTTTCGTTGACTTTGTATATTTCTTCAATGCATAAAATGAAGGTGGGTAGCCCAAGTCATGGTTAACATGATGAATTTTCTAGCTTTTGCTTGAAAACCAAGATAGATTGGTCACTTCTGAACCAATACAAAATAAATAGACCTTGTCAAGTCAATCAAAGGGAAATCACCAGCTCAGTTCTCCAAAGTCTTGGAACAAACTATTAATTAGTCTAATTAACCATTTAAGCAATCCAAACCTGTTATTTTCAGGTATTGAAACATGATGCATTTTTATATATGACTTCATTACTCTAATTTGTTCCAAATTGTGTCCTTGAGAAAAATCATTTTAAATTAGATATTTTTGCTAATCTGAAGTTTCAAAGTTTCCACAATGAAAAAAAATTTTGCTTAAAATTCACTATACAAACTCTACGAAAATGAATTTTTTAAAACTAAAACTTTAGAGGCAATAAAGAGTGAAATCCAAAATGATTCTAATATTCAGAAAATAGGTGTGATGATCTCAGTGCAAACTTCTATCCAAGATTATAATTCTACAAAAAAATCCACTGTACTATGACATCATCCATATTTGGAATTATGAAACGACTGCGTTTATCATCTCAGAGAAGACTGTAATGATTTGATTACAGTATTAATCTCAACAATCTTCTCCTCCAAGTATTCAATTCTTTTGCAATGTGACTTTACACAAAGAAGTGGAGTCTAATCTCCCGCACCTAGACTGAGTTATCTGCAACTTGCTTTGGTCAATAAAACGTAGAAGAAATGATAACTTGCAAGTCCTGAGCATTGAATATCCTGTGCCTTTGCCCCATATCTTGAACCCCTGCCAATGCTAAAGATCAGGTCCCTAACATTCTGCTGGAGTAGGAAAGACAGCATAGTAAACCAGGTCAACCTAATTTTCTAGGCCAAAGCCCTACACATGTGACAGATCTTCCACCAAAATGAGAAGAATCACTAAACGGTGCTTAGAAAACTTGTGGCTTTAAAGATGTATGAATGATCCATAGGGAGCAAAATTTCCTAAGAATCTCACATACGAGTGAGCTACCATGAATGTTTGTGGTGCTGGATGCACCTGCATTTTTGTGGTTGTTAACATAGAATCAGTGAAGCAACAGATAACTGATTAAAAAAAAAAAAAAAACTATTGTTCCAAGTTACTCAGATACTTTCTATAGCAGGGTTAGCAAACATTTTTCATAAAAGGCAAGAAATTAATAATTTTAAGGTTTGGGGCTACATGCAGTCTCTGTTGTATATTCTTTTATGTTTTGTTTTACTTTCATTTTACGATTCTTCACAAATAGGATAGCCATTCTTGGCTCTGAGGCTGTATGTAAAAGGTACTGTCATGATTTGAGCCAGGAGTTGTGATTTTCTGATCTCTTGCTTTATATTATGGCAAGATATGATACGATACTGCAGAATAAAAGATACCAGAGCTCAGGATGTAAAGCAACAGAGCAAAGCCACGCAATAAGACCTAATGCAATTTTTGAAATAGAATTACATCACTGTTTTCATTTTTTATTTTTTGTGTTTATCTTCAGTGGTGTACTGACAAAAGTCTAATAACCAGCTGACAGAGGTAGGAAATATTACCAGCCTGGCCAAGTTCAAGCTACCCAGAGAGTGGATTTGAGACAAGTTGCACACAACTCAGTAAGAGGTGATTCCAGCACATCACTGTTAGAATACTTACCTATTTTACTGCTGTGCTGTAGTTCAGTAGTAATCATAAACTGTAATTGATTATAACTCTGAGAGTGTGTTTTCCTTAAACTGATTTGCCTTTTTCACTTACCTACTTTCTTGATACAGGTAGGCTTTAGCTTTTTTTTTTTATCCCTGATGCCAAAAAAGATGAATATATTTGTAGCTGCCTTATTCTCTCAATGATCTGAATTCTATATCCCAATACTCCATTTTCAAAGAAGCCAATTTAGGATTAACTTACCTGTCTTGGCTTGATCATCTCCAGCCGGAGAAGGGGAAATTTTCTTATTTTCAGGCATGGTTATTGATGGTACTTTGAGACCTAGTTACAAAGAAAACTATTTAAATATCATGAATCATTTTTTTTATTTAACTTCTCTACATTTGTCAATCTAAGAACTGATAGTGTCAGAAAAAATATATTAAAACTAAATTATGTTTAAAATGCAGGAAACCCAATAATGTACTCTTTTTCCTATTAGGACTACTATGCTGTCATTCAGGGACATCAAATAAAAAATCTTCCTGAAGGCAGAATATTTGATATTCTACTTTATGGGAGACCTGAAAAGATGTCTGGCCTGACCACTAAATAATCCAGCACTGGTCACTGTAGCCATGGATTCAAAGTCCTATCAGAATTCTGGAACCTACAATATTTTCATTTCATATGATAAAAGTTTTACGTGATTAGCATCTCTACTTTACTTTCCTTCAAGTCCTTTATTTAAACATTATGGAGAAACTCAAATGCATACAAAGGTAGAGAGAAAAATGTAATGGGCTACTATGTGTCCATCAATCAATTTCAACAATTTATCAACTTGTCACCAATCTACCTCCCATACTCCTGTCCACAGTGCTAACCTACCCTTGATCATGGTTAAACAAATTTCAGATAATGCACTATTATATTTGCAAATATATCAAAAAATGTTTTAAACATGGTCAGTAGACCAATAATCTGACAGTAAGTATGTCTAATTATCATTAAATATATATTCTATTCACATTTCTTCCATTTTCATGTATTTTTCTCTTAAAAATTTATTAGCATTGAAATATAAAGTCCACAAATAGCATTTAACTCAAGTGTTTTAATTATCTTTAATCTATGAATTATACATACATTGTTCTTTCTGTAATTTTATCTCTGTAGAAATAAAATCAAATATTCTGTCCTACAGCATTTTCTACATTGTTGATAATCTCCCTATACTGTTTTCAATGAGTTCTTCTCCTCCATATTTCCTGTAAATTAGTATCTATTAGAAATTTAAACTGTTGAACAAAAGGATAAGTCTATAACCACAGATATGAAACTTGCCTCATTTAATTTGTAGAACAAAATCATCATAGTTTAGAGATGAAAATCATCTAGCTCAATTTTTTAATTTTATAACCTGGACATTTTGAATGAAATTGTTAAATTTATTCAGGGTAAAAAGACTTTTGGAAAACTGCTATGAAAGAAAACCATGAATCTAAGTTCAGTGTTTTTTTCAAATAAATCAATCTGGCTCATAAAGAATGAATTATTAAAGGAAAGGAAAATATAGAAAAATCATAATTAAACTTTATATCACCATTTTAATTTTTTAACTTAAGCTTATAATAAAAACATACAATTTTCAGGGTAGGTGTTTAGCCTAGTAGTTAAGATAAACACATTCCATATTCCATGCCTGAGTTCACTGCTTCTAACTCTAGCATCCTGCTAACGCAGACCTGGTAGGTACAAGGGATGGTTCAAGTAATTGGGTTCCTGCCACTCATGTGAGAGACCAGGATTAAGTTCCTGGCTTCCAGTGTTGACCTGGCCTGGGCATCGTAGACATTTGAAGTATGAACCAGCAAACAAGAAGGCTGTCAAAGTAGCATGTGCACATTTGCTTGCTCCCTCCCTGTCTCTCAAATATTTTTCGAAGTGACTAGATAACAAAAATCAACAAAAATTAAAGCTATAGAAACTGATCCAAAGATACTTCAGATAATGCAATTACCAGATTAATAAACTATCAAATACATGTTTATAACGTTTTAATTTTTAAGGACTAAAATCTGTGAAAATTAGTATTGTCAACTTGAAGCCAGTGAGGAATCCATGAGCTAAAAATTCTGTAACTGTAATTCTCAACTCCCAGGTTCTATGTAAAAGTAGATTTGACAAAACTGAGGAAAGAACTGGTAAATCAAATTGAGAAGAAAACCATACCGAATGAAGCCTGCAGTTCTGACGGGGTGGAAAATTCATACTCAAACATAAAATTCAAGGCTCTTCCCCTCCACTTTCAGGAAGATGGAATATATGTGTTTTCCCGTGTTTTTCCAAGAACAACAAACCACCCTAGCCATTATGTATAAAACAAACACAAGACGACTGAAAGGTAGAGAGAAGAAGCTGACAGTGCAGGAGCCTTTGGGGCAGAGGAGTGATGAGGTGATGAGTTTCTGAGATTTTCTTTTTCCTTTAAATGTCCCAAACCAGAGGCTGAAGAAAACAGCAATGCCAACGGCTGCAGATCAAATAAAGCTCCCGTTACAGTGTCCTTGCTTGAGCCAGTGTGTCAGGGAGGGGGCAGCTTAGTAAGAGCAAACGCATTTAGACAGTAACATCTTTACTCCCAACACAACGGAAAATTCTGTGGTCCCACACAGGCTGAATGAGAGGCCTAGGCTACAGACACACTTGCTAGACTGTAACGAGGCATTCCCCAAACCCCTGCTGGAGGGAGGCGGCGGCCAGGTAGGGATCCAGTTCTTTAATCTCCACTGATTTGGGTTCAAGCACCATCACCCCATCCAATGACAGTGTCAGCTGGAGACAAGGTGGGAATCCTGGTCTTCCATGTGCTTCAGTAATGGGGTACCCTTTCTATTTCCCACTGTGGAAGGTCGAAGCAGGCTTAATAGTGAGTCACAACTTATACCACGACCCAGCAGTAACGAGAGTGCACCAGTTGCACAATGTCAGTGAAGGTCAGACAGGGAGCAATAACCAGGCACTCCTGCTGCTCCCTGTCAGTAAAGGCCTTGGCAGGGTGTGGAACCCCCATCCATACCCAGCAATAAGACATGTGCAAGGTGCAAATTAAAGCCAAAATGAGACATCTATACACCTGGCAGAATAGCCCAAAAACAAAAAAGAAAAAAAAAATGGATGAAGAGCAGGTGTTTAGACAGTAGGACAGCAGTTTAGATTCCACTTGAGACAATTGCATCCCATGTTGGTGTGTCTGGTTTGAGATGCAGCTCCACTTCTAATTCCAGCTTCCTGCTAATGTGCACCATGGGAAGCAACAGGAAAATTCAAGTATTTAATTTCCCTGCCACCCACATGGGAAACCTCAGCTGAGTCTTGGTTTCAGCCTAACCCAACTCTAGCTGTTGCAGGCATTTGAGGAGTGAACCAGCAGATGGAGGTGCTCACTCTCTCTCTGAAAATGAAAAACTTTCAAAGCTTTTTATTATAAAAAAAAGTGTGCACAAATATCAAATGCTGGCAAAAAAATATGGAGAAACTGGGTCACTTATACCTGGTAGAATGTAAAATGATGTAACTGTTCTGGAAACTAGCTTGGTAGTTCTTTGTAAAAGTAAAAATGGACTTACCAAAATGACCCAATCAATTTCAGTTCACAATTGATCATAATGAAAGGACTAAGAGTCAAAGGGAGCACATAAACAAGTCTAGTATCTGCTAACACCAACCGATAGAATAAACAAAGGGGAGAGTGATCCAACATGGGAAGTGAGATACTCAGCAGACTCATAGAATGGCGGATGTCCTAAATAGCACTCTGGCCTCAGAATCAGCCCTAAAGGCACTCGGATCTGGCTGAAAAGCCCATGAGAGTATTTCAGGCATGGAAAGCCAAGACACTCTGGCAAAAAGATCTCTGTGAGTGAGATCCCAGTGGAAAGAACAGGTCTTCAAAGAGGGAGGTGCCTTTCTCTGAAGGGAGGAGAGAACCTCCACTTTGACTATGACCGTGTCTAAACAAGATAAGAGTCGGAGAACTCAAGGGGCTTCCATAGCCTTGGAAACTCATAACTGGTGCATAGGGAGATTACTGATGCCATAAACAGGAGTGTCAATTGGTAAAGTCAACAACAGGAGTCACTGTGCACTTACTCCTCATGTAGGATCTCGGTCCTTAACGTGCTGTACACTGAGGCTTAATGCTATAACGAGTACTCAAACAGTATATTTCACTTTGTGTTTCTATGGGGGTGCAAACGACTGAAATCTTTACTTAATGTACACTAAACTGATCTTCTGTAAAAAAAAAAAAAAAAAAAGAAAGAAAGAAATTTTCAATTCCCAACTTGACTCTCACTGGGATTAAACATGACAATAGGTTTGATCTGATTTCATCATCATTTAAAAAAAATCATCTATTATTTTTCACTTTATGTTTCTGTGTGGGAGCAAACTGTTGAAATACTTATTTAAGGTATACTAAGCTGATCTTCTGTATATTAAGATAATCGAAAATGAATCTTGATGTGAATGGAAGGGGAGAGGGAGTGGGAAAGGGGAGGGTTGTTGGTGGGAGGGACGGTATGGGGGGGGAAGCCATTGTAACCCATGAGTCGTACTTTGGAAATTTATATTCATTAAATAAAAGATAAAAAAAAAAAAAAAAGAAAGAAAAGTTACGAAAAAAGGGTCCAGCATAGGGGGTAAAGCTGCCACCTGCAGTGCTGGCATCCCATATGGTCACCAGTTCAAGTCCTGGCTGCTCCACTTCAATCCAGCTCTCTGCTATGTCCTGGGAAAGCAGTAGAAAATGGCCCAAGTCCTTGGGCCCCTGTACCCATGTGACAGACCTAGAGGAAGCTCCTGGCTCCTGGCGTCAGGCCAGCACAGCTCCAGCTATTGGGCCATTTAGGGAGTGAACAAGCAGATGGAAGACACCCCCCGCCCCGCCTCTTCCTCCTTGTTACTCTGCCTTTCAAATAAATCTTTTAAAAAAAGAAAAATTACCAAAATGAAACTGATTTTCACCCAGAAATTTGTGCATGAATATTCCTAGCAGCTATACCCATAATAGCCAAAACCTGCACATTACCTAAACGCTCTTCAATATTCACCCATTCACAAATTGTGGTACTTCTAAGTCATGAAATATACTCTAGAAAAACACTGAAAGACTGAAAGGAACACGTTGTTTCTTGGGGTGTGAGGTCGAAAATCACACATACAGCCACTTGGAGGAAACGCTCATTAATTTTTCTAAGTGAAAAAAAGTCAATGTCAAAGGGATGCATGCTGCATGATTCCATTTACATTCATAACACAAAATAACTATAGATATGGGGAACAAATTGGCTATTGTCCATGGCTAAGAATGGAAGAGAAGTAATGTCAGAGACTGCAGTGGCAATTGTATAGTTGAGCATCTTCATTGCAGTGGTGGTTACAAAAGCCTGTGTACTGACAAGATTTAGTAGAGTTCTACACATACATCTGGATGCATTAGTGGTGAAATATTCATGAGCTGTATGGTTTGTACCAATATGAATTTTGTGACTACTGTTGTGCAGTGGTTATGAACAACACTAATCTAGTATTGGGGCATGATGGGTAAAGAGGACATAAGACCTACCTGTATAGTTCTTTGAAATTTCCTGTGAATCTATAATCATTTAAAACTGTTTAAAGGAAATATGATAGCTAGACAATCCTGATGTTTATGGGAATTAAAAATACACAAATACCTATGGAATAGAATATGTATTTACAACGGAACTTGGAAAATATGTTGGACAGTGATCATAAACATGATAGCATATGAGATTTAAGGAGATGTAAGAAGGTGGTAGGTGTCTATACTAAATGGTGTTCTACGGTGTCCTCTTTGAGGAGTTGCCAATAACAAGCTAGGAGACTCTAGCAGAGTTGTCTATGCAGAGCTTACCAAGCTGCAAAGGTCCAAAAGCAGAAATGTACTTAAGTAGAAACAGTAGTCATAAATTTATTAATTCTAGAAACCAATCCTAATGCACGAGTATAAATTAACAGCAATGACAACGAAAAAAAGGTCTATTACATTTCAGTTGACATTCAGCTACAGCATTTTATCATCCTGGCAAGATCTCCCCTGCCTGGTTCCCTCAGGCTATTTTCATCAGTAGCAGGCTACCTTGTTAGCTTGCCAGTAGGGTAAAATCTCAGATCCTTCACAGTTCTGGCCAAAGATTTGATCATTAAATTTTCAAGAACTTTACAAGTTATTCGAGATGATGTTGGTAGCTTGGAATCAACCCTGATGAGTGGATTCACATCATGGAAATCAACAAATGCCACAAATCAAGTTTTGTTTCTGTTTTTTGTTTGTTTGTTTTTTGTTTTGTTTTGTTTTGTTTTGTTTTTGCCCTGACAGGTGGCTATTTAACATTTGTTGACCCACCACTAAAACAAGATAGAAGCAGTATTCACAAGACTCAAAGTAACTTGTATCCATCTCTCACCCAAACAAGAATTCATCGCCCATTGCAAATTATTCCACCCAGCTTCAAACAAGTCAGGAACAAGGAACAGCCACACACTAAGCACAAAAGATTCCTTAGTGCCCACATGCATGTCAAAAGTAACCCAATGTAACCCATACCAGACTTCCTTGAGGTTGTCCTGTGTAAGAAATACACCTGCACAGAGCCCTGACCAGGGCTAGTTGAGGTGCTGTGTGTTGAGGGAGGGGGAGTGTCTCTTCACATAACAAAAATCCCCTGAACTGTCCACCTCCCCACATTGAACCAGTTGGCAAAACCTCTTATTGCCAAACTGTCTCACTTGTTCTCCAGCATAAACCCTCAGTAAAACTTGTATATATTTGCACACACTGGCTTCTTGTCAATTCCCATTACAAGGGAACCAAAAATATCATGTTGATATCATCATTACCAATGAAAACTTCACTAAAAGGTATAATAAGGGCTCTATCATTAGGCAAAACATAAGGCTGGTGGAAGATAGGATGAGAGTTACAAATGTAAACCCCAGGAAACACTTAACTTTTAAGATGGGTCCTGAATGATTTATTGAGCCTAAAATTCAAATTGGAGCCAACCAGCTATTTGCTGACTGAGGTCAGCAGCACTCTGTTATATCTTGTGTTCCTGAGAGAAAGTTTGCCATCCCTGCCTTGGCAAGTTCTTTTATCAACTGCAGAGATAGCTAGCTTCCAAAAATCTCATTTCACCACTCTTCTGACATGACCAATGAACTGTGACCTGTTGGCAGCTTTAAAAATTAACCAATTGGAATGGAGTGCTTTTTCTGCAAACTTGCACCCCCTTATTTCTAGAGTAGGCTGGGGTAAGAACCTGGGCAAGAACTTTATAAAAGACAGGCCCTCTCTGTGTCCCTTCTAAGCTCACTTTATCATTTGCCGAGGTTGTGTCTCTCCACTGTGCAATCCTGAAATAAACTCTCCCTTTTATACTGACATTTTTTTCTAGTGAACTTTTACTGACACAAGTATGTTGACTGAATTGGGCTAGATCATCCATGCTGGGATATGTTCAAAGACAATAATGAACTGATAATTTGGTTCTGAAACCAGGATATGAGGAGGAATAGAGTCATAAAAATGGACTGACAGGTAGGGGCCAGGGCTAATTTTTAGGTTTAAAAAACTTAAAGGCATGAATTGTTCCAAATCTCATATCCACCTAACCTCTCTATGTCCAACTTATCCCCTTTGAAAAATATCACCTCCTGCTTCAGAGAGGAAATAAAAGGAATCACACTTAAATTTGAATTAATTCATCATCATAAAACCTACAATGCAATGACACATGTGCACTTCCTTCCACTTTGGCAACACAGAAGTATACTCCCTACTACTTTGTCTTAAGCATCTACTTGTGCTGGGGAGTTCATAAAACCACTTCTCTTTCATCATTACTCCAATGACCACCTAAAATTCGTCTTACTAGAATTCTCTTTTATGTTACTTTAACAATCTTTTCTCTTTAACAATCTTTAACAATCTTTTCTCTTGGTATTCACACATTTCTTCTGTCCTACCCCATCAAAACAAATGGAATGCCTTAGTTTACATTACTACAGTCGA